GAAAATTTGAGAATGAGTCATGGCTACATATTTTTGGCCAGCACTGTATGTGTATGATGGGACAATATTGAACTTTCGGCATAATATAAGTTATAAACAATCACGATAAACGACGTATGTTCTTTTCAATAATAACATTAAAGATCACCCCTTGTTCAAAGGGACCAACTTGCCCGATTGTGGATCGACACAGTACTTTTCATCGTGCTTATTAATCCAGTCTTCAAACTCTCTTGCTTCGGGATGAAAGAAGCAAACCTGCTCAAACACTGCCTTTTGCATCGCTTCCTTTGTTTCAACCACATATTCATTAGTGTCGTCAATCTTGCCCAAAAATTTGTCTTCTTTCTGCTCCACTTCATCATAGCTGAACGTCTCATCTTCTTCGTTATAGTCCCCCATTGATCGAAAAGCCTCCCGTATGTATGGATGCATTAGCGCTTCAACGGCACTAAGACGCTTTTGTGGATCGTACACAAGCAGCTTTTCTAAAAGATCAAGAGCCTGTTGATTTGCATTCGGATAAAGCTCTTCAAATGGAATTTTTGACCTCCGCCTTTGTCGATGAACCCATTTTTGCGCTGCTTCTTTGTGGATCCTGGCAATGTACGTGATATCAGGTGTTCCAAGCACATTAAAAATCTTGTTCAGTTGATTAATTGTACTCGATCCGGGAAAAAGGGGTTTGCGGCCTAAAAGCTCGCCTAAAATGCAGCCAGCAGACCATAGATCAGAGGGTTTATCGTATTTACATCCGTCAAGCAAGATTTCTGGGGCTCGATACCATCGCGTTACGACGTACTCTGTCAGCTCAACAAATGCTTCGTCGGATGCTCCATTGATTTTTTTTGCCTTGGAATGATCCACATAACGAGCTAACCCAAGATCACAAATTTTAGCTTCGCATGTACTTGTAACTAAAATGTTTGATGGTTTTAAATCGCGATGCAATACATTGGCCGAATGCAAATACGCTAGCGCACGTAGAATTTGACGCATAAAATGTGCTACATGTTGATCTGTTAAGGTCTGAGTCGAATGAATCACACGATGTAAATCCGTTTCCATGAGATCCGTCACAAGATAAATGTCTTCTAGATATGACAGACGTTCAGGTCGAGGAATATCGTAAAGTTGTATAAGATTGGGATGTCTCAATTGACGCAATAGACACAATTCACGAAGAATTCGCTTTGTGTCAGGCAAATCTTGAAACGCATTCGTAATTTTTTTAATTGCAACTGTCGTCCCAGACTCAACGTCACTTGCAGCAACTACTTCACCGTACGTTCCAGCGCCCACAACTTTAATTAATTGATACTTTCGTGGAACATCAAACTGCGTGGTCTTTCCACAAAACGTATGGTTTTGGCGAGCGAAATGTGACAGCTCATCGTTTATTTTACTGGTAGGAGATTCAATTTTTGAACTTACGTCGCGATTCTCTCTTGGCTCACCAGACTCCGTTCGTCTTTGCACTGGACGTGTCACAAAACCACGTTCCAAAGTCAAACTAAAAGCTTTCGCAGACGCTCGTTTATCAGATCGTAGACACTCCCGAAGGCTGTAGCTAGACGAACTTTGCAGCAAAGTTTCGTCCAACGATCCACGTCTTGATTCCACTAGCCTCCCATCACTAGCCATACGTCGAAGACCTTGAGATTGCGGAAAGCTTTCGGCCCAAGTAATAGTCGGTGCAAAGATGATCCCGAGCTGAATGCGACCTCGAAAGACTGTCGGAGGGGCCCATGATTCCTTACAATCGTTATACTGGTCACACAAATTGTGCCATCGAGGCAACGCACCGTTTGCTTTCGCATCCGCAGAGCCAAGAACTAGCGACAAATGAGGCGTCACATTGATTTTACAGACACCCAAAAGTTCATCTGCTAACATAAAGCGACTTTGAAATACTTCGACCTTTAAAAAGTACGTAAATCCTCGCGCACAGCCTGGAAATTCAAGTCGGAGATTACTTGACCACTCGGGATTCAGCGTACCAGCTTTGTGATGATCGTCGGGATTCACGACGGGCAAACACTTGCATATATTGGTGACACAGCCACTTGGATCTCCAAATGTTGCCACTGTTCTTTCGCCAGAAATCCCTGCAGCACGCCTCAAGCCACGAAAGAATCGCGTTCCTTTCGAAGGTCGACGGGTTTCTTTGAGCAAACCTTTCAGCGAAGTCGAGAATTCTTCGGTAGAAATCTCTCCTTTTTTCAAGTCTAAACCACGCAACGTTTGCTCCATGTGAGTTCCTTCTTCAAGAATGCAACGTGCATACACTGGAAACCCTTTTTTCAACGCAGCAGTCGTGTGACTAGTTCCTTTTGTTGTATGGTCATTCCCATTTTCACTGAGATGTAATTGTTGTGCCCGTAAAATCTGCACGTAAAATATTCCCGGAGGGATCGAATGAGAAATCGCAGACGCTTCTCCAGGCAGCACCAGTCGGATATTTTCGCCGCGTGGTGCATCATCAAATGCAACCGAGAGCGCCACAGCGTCTCCATTCAAGTGCCAGCGTACAAGTCGATCTTTGTGATCCAGCCACAATTCATGAACAAACAACTGAGTCACTCGACGATTTTCTGCTTTAAGTAAATTAAATGTCTCTTTTCCAGTCACTACTAGACGTTTTGTCCACTGCGCAGAAGGAGTTGAAGCGCTTGTTGGCGTGACTGTCGAAGAATCGTTCGTTTTTGGAGACAAAACATACGAGTCCACAGTAAGCGGAGAAGGTGTGAGCGCGTCAGGAGCTCCCGCTTCATCGACGCAATCAGCATCTCCACGCACCAATTCAATGACATCCAAAAATGAAAAATGATCCACTGAAACTGTATCTAACAATGTAGAGATAAAGAGCAAGACACCATCGTATCGACGATACTGGCCCCAAAACGGCACAATTGGAGGAAAATTAGACGTGACGACAATGTCGGGATGCATGCTACGGAACAACACAGGAAAATCGCTCACTTCTTGACGTAATAATGCACCAAGAAGTCGATAGAACGTATGAGGCTCTAAAGGCTGAGACGCAAACGCTACGTATGGACGTGCCACTTCCGGTACTTTAGAAATCGCAATCTGTCGACATCAGCAAGATTATGTTAGCTCTCAAAAGACTCTAAACAGTAAACTATCATGACGAAGTCGTACACTGATTGCTCGCTTCCACTGTTCCTTTTCAAAGGCTGTTCGTGAGCTCATGTGACTCACATGACCACCTTCTGCAGTTACACAAAAGCCATTTGGCTTGCCCATTTCTTCGTCTTCAATCGCTTGAAGTTGAATCCGACCAATAAGTTTTGAATTTGAAATAAAATCTTCTCGCGTTTCATAAAACGCCAATGTGTCCTCTTCAAGAACACAATACGTGGCTTTCCAGCTCATCAAAACATCGCTTTTCTTGCTTAAATAGCCTTCGAATGCAATATCGCGGTCTGTACGATACCGAATTGTGTTAGATCGTCCACGTGCAATTGTTCGTGAACCATTTCGCGGTCTTCCCATAAGTACAGAGGATGATCGACTGGACGGAGGTGTCTCTGCTAAAGCTTGTGACAATGCAACTGGTGTCTCAATCACAGGCGATGGTACCACGGTAGATATATCTGTATCTATCATTCTATCATGATCATACTCTTCCAAAAACAAACTACTTGTGTCTACACTTCTTGCATGAGGTCGTTTTGGAGCTTTTACTGGTTGAATCCGCTGTTGTAAAATGCTAAGGAACGCCACCATTCTAGTACGATGAATAGGATCTGTATTCTTCACAGTAATGCCAATTTGCTCTGAATCTCGAAGTTGTTCCATTCGTACCAGAAGTACAGTCTTGAGTCCATACTGATCTGTCACACTAGCATATGCAAGCACGATAAACGGACGTCGTGGCTGTGGCGGGAATATGACAATATCACTCCCTAAATTCTTCAAAAATTGCTCCTGAAAACACTCTATTGCTGTACTATTAGCTTCAGCAGTAGTTTCATTCGGGTCTTGTGTCGAACTCTCTTTTCGAAAACTGCTCGTTTGCTTGTACTTTGTAAACGTACAACTGGAACTTACTTGTTGTGTGGCATTTAACCACAATTGTTCATACAATTCCACTGTCATCCACGGATGTTCAAAGTGATTAATCTCGACAGTCACGTCAACGTCGTCATCTAGTGTCAAATTGCTCTCACGACGTCGCATTGTTTTGTGCTTTTCCTCGTCTCAAAGTGACAGAAAGAGAGACGAGAAATGTTGTAGTGGGTAAAGTAAATAACGTAAATATATGGAAAGCTACACACGCGAAGAAATGCGGCAGAGAGCCTTCCGATCGACGCTGAGCGTCCCGCGCTATATAAGGCGGAATTTCTGACTAAGAAATAACTTAGTCATTATGATTTGGCGCTGCGATTGGTCAATCGAAGATAGAATTTTACTATAATTACCACCATTTGTCGAATAATTTGGTGATCGTATGAGTATATAATACTGATACAAACGACAAAAGTTGGCAAAATTACAACAATGCATGACGACGTACCAGCAGACAGCAACAAGTTCAAGCGATAGATACAGTAGAGAAAGAAAGTGACTAGACAATTGAAAAAACGACATTCGTCGCTTTGTGTCACATGAAGTTTCTTAAGACATTAAAACGAAGGATTCGTGCAATTTTCGTCGATAAACGAGTGCAGGTGCTGTAACGGGGTTACACGAACCCTGATAACAGGGGTGGGTGTGTCACACGAGATGTGCATGATGTGACCACACACCTAAACAAGAATACGGTACGGGGCTATGTAGCCAGTAGTTATGCATGTATTTAGATTTTACTATACATATTTAGTATATTTAGGA